AATCAAATTCTGTTTTCCTTGAGGAAGGTGGAAGTACCAAATTAATATGCCCCTGTTGGAATTATGCCCTAAAGATCAAAATTCCCCAACATTCTGTTGACAGAAACCACAGATGTGGGCCAATCCTAGGTATCAGACCAGAGTGGAGAATCACTTTTTTCATGTAGGCTGCCTCCTGCACCAGCACTGTACCAGCCTGAGAGTTGTGTGACGAGCTGTGGTCCCTTTCCTTGTGGCATGGTTCTTGGTGGGGAAGACAGGTGTGTTCCCATCTCCGCACCACTTGATGAGAACGGTGCATATATGCATGGGAAGAGGGTGCAAATAAACTTCCTAGAGGGGATTTGGAAAGCCTGTTGCTGAGAGAGAACAGAGGAGCTGTGTCAGGGGATATCCAGGCAGGTGATCTGGTCATGGTACCTTTCTTGTTGAAGGGCAGGCTACTGCAGCATACAGAGATATGGAAGGGCACAGGACATTCCAGGAAATGAGCCTTGTTTGTTGTCTTTAACTGACAGCCAAAGGGTTGTGAAGCTGGAGAGTCCGGGCCCAGGCAGGAGAGGGGTTGGAGCTCGAGCCTTGTCTCACTGCTCAGCTGTGCCCTTGTGGTTATAACAGGGCTTGTGCATAATGGCTACATGCGTCCTTCTGGGATGTAGCCATATGGTCTTCATTATATTCTCAAAGGGGCTGCAGATCCCTTAAAATTGAAGACCCGCTGCTGAGGGCAAGGGGCACATTTGGCAGGGTTTGAACCAGAAAAGCTGAATCGTTGCCCTTCTATGAACAAGCTTGGGGCTTATAGTAAAGTTTCCCCTTGTTTCTCAGGACAATTTGCTTCCCTAATGAGCCAGCTTGATAAGGGCAGGCCACAGAGGGTGATGCCTGCCAGGCACGCGGGCCGGTTGAAGGGACAAGGATGCAGAAGAGGAGGTCACGCTAGGCTCTGCCACTGCAGGAAGATTTCAGGCTCTTTGAGATGGAGGCCCACACCATCCCCTGCCCCTCCTTCCCCCTGCACAAATGTGATTATGCCTCTGCAGAGCGACTGGAATCAGGTTAGCGTCATTGAGCAATGCTGAGCAGGGGTAATCAGAGCCTGGAGCAGAGCAGGTGCTGGCTTTAAAGTGGCTTCTGAGAATTAGGACGGGCTGACTCGTAGCTTAGCCCCACGTAGACAAGCCACTTAGAACACTGTCCTTGCAGCCCCCAGGCCTCCTCCTTGCCACCATAAGGCACTCGTGTTTGTTGGAGGGGCCTCTGGCATGGCCTGGGGTGCTTGGCTCCTTAACTGATGTTCAGGGACTGGTGCCCCAGGGGTCCTATTTGCCCAGGGCATGGCAGGACAAAAAGAGCTAACCTGGCCTGGAGTCTCATTGGGTCTGCTCCTGCCTATCTGGTGTCCTGGGAAAATTACCCATCTCTTGGAGCCTCGCATAAGTCAACTGTAAAGTGGGAATCATGAACATATCTAACTCATAAGGTGGTGGTAATTAAGTATCATATAGGAGAGGCTCTCATCATCAGGCCTGCTGCAGAGTCAGCCGCAAAGAACGTCACCCTATTCTCAACCTAGACCACTGCCAGGACAAGACAGGGTTTTATTGTTTCTACAAAGATGTTTCATACTCAGAACAACTTCATGTAATTACATGAGAATTTAAGAATAAAGGTTTATGTCACCCAAAATCTTAACAGAGATGCAGTATTACTGTTTGAACATCATTCTAGATGCTCTCATATGCACATATTAATAGAAAATAATTTTAATAAGGGCACATTTAATATATTAATTTTAATAATAAAAGTTATTGGTGGTGCATCATGGCCCACACCTGTAATCCCAGAACTTTGGGAGGCCGAGGCAGGTGGATCATCTGAGGTCAAGAGTTCGAGAGCAGCCTGGCTACCATGGTGAAACCCTGTCTCTATTAAAAATACAAAAAATTAGCTGGGCGTTGGTGGTGGGGGGGTGCCTGTAATCCCAGCTACTCAGGAGGCTGAGGCAAGAGAATCACTTGAACCCGGAAGGTGGAGTTTGCGGTGAGCCAAGATGGTGCCACTGCACTCTAGCATGGATAAGAGCAAAACTCTGTCTCAAAAATAAAAAAGAAGTTATCGTATTTAGTGTTTAACAAAAGAAAATCAGATGAAACAGAAGGAACTGCAAAACTAGAGATACGTCATTTCTAAGATACGATTCTGGGGGTTAAAAAAAACCAGTTTCGAGCAATGTTAATACTGGTAAGTCATTTTTTGTTTCTTCACTATTCTCGTAAGGACATAGAAAAGGCATTCGAAGACTCTCCTGCTCTACCAGCTGAGTAGCCCGGTGTCTGAAAGCACTTTAACGTTCAATTACATGTCAAGATGAACTTGCAAATAGCAGAGAAAAACAACACACTGACTTCAATTCCCACTAAGTGACTCATCTTACCAAAACGAAACAAATGTGGAGCATTCTTGATGCTTGACATGTGGAGGGGCCATCCAGGGGTTAGTAAAGGAGGCTGAGCACCAGGAGAGACATTGAGGCATGCAAGACGGAAGCCCATTGGCACCTGATACACTGGGCAGTTCTGTAAGTCTAATATGTTGCATTGTAGGTAAGAAAAATAAAGCCCAGCCAGGTGCCAATGTGACATGGAGTTTGGTCTTCAACCCAGGGCTCTGTACCCCACATACATGGTTTAACTATCTGGATTCACCATGCCTTTTTACTACCTGTGCTTCTGATGCTGTGACACCTTTGGGCTTTGCTGACCCTGGAGGGACTGCCGTTCTCAGGGAGAGCGGTTCCAGAGCTCTTAACGGACTATGTGCAAGTTTGCCTTTCAAATGCAAAGCCATCAGTCCAGAGCTCCTACCGCACCACCTCCTCTGTGGGCCTCTCACACTCTGGGTCTCTATCTTCCTGACATGACCACTCCAGGGCTAGGTGCCAGACACCTAGGGACATCCCCCACTCCAAATGCAACCTGGAGCAAACCAAATGTGACCCCAGAGCCCACCTAAATTATTCAGACCAGCCGATCCTAAGCCTGCTCACCCTTGCCATGTCTGGTTCTTCCTGTGCAAACCACACACAGGTTCTTACTGCAGTTTCTTCCCCACCCACTCTGCTGCCTGACAGACCCTGGTACTTCCCCATGTCCCCCTCCTCTTGGGGACTGTGAGGAACATGCTGCTTTTAATGGCAGTCATTTCCCAACTTGTTGGGCTCACCATCCTGAACAAGAAGACAGCTCCATTTAAACAGACTGCCCCTGCTGTGCCTGAGGGTAGCCCCTTGGGGGACTGACTCCCTTGAGCATAACTTGGTGACACAGAGAGCCCTTCCAGAGTCCAGCCACTACCTGTTTTGGGTCCACACCCCATGATTCGGCATGGAAAATTCTGGTCCCTGAGCAGGCATCACTCTCTCTGAGAAGTACCTTGTCCAGCCCAGCCATCTGTGAGAGGAGGAGGGCAAGGCCGGTGAGATGAACCTTCTGCAGGCTGACTCCGTGCTAACTCGGCATGATAACTTTGTTTCTCTCTAAGAGGAAGAGCTGGTTTCCAGGTGAAATGCACGTAGTCATAGGTGAAATGGAACCAGAAAGGCCTCCAACTGGGGTTCTCACATTCAAGTTTCTGATCTCTCTATCTTTAACCTCAGGACACATGGCATTGCTGAGACTTTAGAGGGGGCTCAATCAAGGTCACACAAATTTAATTCGATTCCACACTCTCGTCGCATCTGGAGAGAAATTTCATTACCTAGACTACATGACATCCATAAATCAATTAGGCCCTTTGGTTTTGTAAACATAATGTGCATTTTGATCCTTTGGAGAGAACTGTTTCAGTTCAGCAATAGGTTTCAGCATCTATACAAGATCCAGCAAAGTGCAAATGCTCAGTCCAATGCAAAACAATGAGGCAGGGTCCCTGGTTTTGGGAGCACCGTGGGTCTGGAGGGAGAGACAGACACGTGTGTGGGGACAACACAGTCAGGCTGTGCCAGGGCGCTCGTGGCACCACAAGGCCCTCGGAGGTCGGAGAGGCCGCAGTGACTCTCGGCCTGCATTTTCTAGTTGTGTGACTGACAGCACTCAATGCTTTCTCAGAACACCCCTTTTAAACCATTTTCAATGTCAGCAGCGTTTTCTCATGACCTCCTGGGGGCTGAATTAGTCTTTGGGAACAGTATCGTTCACAGGGAGAAAGGCAGCGGATTAAAGCTGGTGAATGATAACTCTTGCTCAAGGTCCTGGTGTGACTCTTAACTGATGCCAAAGGCTGTTCTGGAAGAAGAGTCCACGGGTGCTTTGGGTGATCCGGGCCCTGCTGGAGGGAGCTTCATCTCTACTGCACTTGCTGTGTGCATTGCGCGTATGTGTATGCACACATACACATGCACACACACACACACCCCAGACTAGGAAAAAAACCAGGCTTCCACTCCCCAGCATTAACTATGTTCTGACATTCTATGTATATATACACACACACACATATATATAGAAAATAAAATATACACATATATGTATAGTTTAATTATAATTCATTACACATTTAAGTTATAATAAAATGTATATATAGAATATAAGAACATAGTTACACTAATGTTACATAGAACATTAATTAAAATGTAATTAAAATAGATACATATACATATAAAAGTCTATTTAATAAAGTGGAATAGACGTGTCATTTTCCAGATGGTAGAATGCTTCGTTTCTGCCCCAAGGCACCATGGAAAATCTTCTGTAAGTTCCCTGTTTCTAACCTCAGAGCTTAGTTTTCTGTCTACAGATGTGTTTCTCTTAACCTGTTATGATGCCTTTGCCCAAAGATTCCATGTGCATTTATGGGCTTACGTTTCCACAGAGCAGACATTCACTAGGATCTCAGCTCATGACCGTGGGTTGGACCAGGGGGCAGCGGTTGCTTGTGTGGATGTTACAGCGGTGACTGGCACGTGGGGGATAAAAGGTAGTCTGTTTCTTACCCTCTAGGTGGCTGCCACCCTGGGGACCACAACGTGCTGCTCCTTTGACAATCTCTTGGAAGTAGGTCCTATCTGTAAGTATCTGATTCCATTTCCTTTTTGGAAAATGTTCTCTGTATACGAGGAATTTAGCAGACCTTCCTCGTTGGTCTCTCTTGTTGTTAACTTCATAGTGTGATGCTTTGCACGGCTCTTCTCGTATTTGCAATAACACAAACCTCATTAGCTTGAACTCCACCAACTCAGAATTTGGGCTAATTGGACAAAAGCTGAGCTTAGTTATACCAACACATTATATGTAAGAAAAGCAATATTCCAAGCAATAAATAAGTTATGTAAAATTCCAGGCCATGTTGGCCCTGTTGAGGAGAATAAACTCTTCAAAATCTTGGAGTAAACACCCTCAAATATGGGTTGTGCATACACCTGCCATGAGAATTGTCCATGATTCAGTGCAATTCTCTGGTATATCCCTTTTCACCTTTTTTGGAATTACTGAATGTAGTTAAGAAAATTGCTGAAGGTAGTTTAGAAAATCAACACAATGAAACTGGATTTCACCAAGGAATAATCTGTGCTTAGATGTTTTCATGGGTCATTCTCACCTCCTCCCTCCCTCATTCTGAGTTTCTAGGTTTTCTCATTGAGGCTTAGGATACTGTGTTTCCAAAAGGTGAACGTGAATGAGTAGCCGTGTTTCTAGAGTTTCATCTTTGACCTGTGGCTCTGGGAACTCAGCAGGCCTTGAAGCTGCTTCTGTGGACAGAAGAACCCTTGTCAGGAAGGGACAGAGGCTCAAGGGGTTCTCCCTTTCTGTGTCCCTCTGGGATGGGATTGTTCTGACCGCTTGTCTGTGGGTGGAGCTGCCCGAGTCAGGCCTTCAGACCACATACCTGTGGCCTGTGCCTGCTACCACACAAGCTGCCAGGGAATTGGCTTCATCCTTAGTCTGCATAAGCCAGGCACAGTTCTCGCCTCTCCTAACCCAAGAGTCACCCATGGTTCATACTCGGAGGAGTGGATACTCCTCTCCTGGACGTTGGCCTCCCCTCCTGGGGTCAGCAGCTGGGGAAGAACAGTGCTTAAGGTACCCTTGTGTGAGCTGGACATGCCATCAGTGACAAGGAAGCTAGCATCCAGCCCAGGCCCACCCCTGAAGCTTACATTCTGAGCTTCATTTAAACTGTCTGTAAAGGGAAGAGAAAAGCCCCACTTGTGCTCATAAAATAACAATGTTTCCCCACAGTATTATTCAGAGGATAAATTAATGCAGGGAAAATGCACCATCTCAAAGGTGGAGTGCATTGTTGCACAGCAAGGAAGGCGGTGCTGGGAACCACCAGGAGGTGGGGCAAGACTTGCCTGCTCTCACAGGGTTTTGCTCCACTGTTTAGTTGTTCTTACAACTGTAAGAACAGCTGGAGGTGGTCGTGCACAGCTCCGGGATGGGAGAAGGGATAGAGCTGGCTGACTCGGGACTGCACCCACAGTGCTGGCCTCATCAGCTGCAAACCTTCATCAGCTCAGCCAAGCGACTTGGAGTCCTCTGACTCAGATGTCAGGCTAAGAACTGAATGTCCTGGCCAGTAGCCGGCTGATGTAATTCCCCAGGGCTATCGGATTTAAAGGTCTGAGGTCTTCTGCCGGACAGAGCCCACACAGCCTGCTGTCTCCTGGGCCCAGTGCAGGCTGCCCGCTGCCCATGGAGATGACAGCCAGTGTGTGTCACCTGCCAGTCACAGTCCACTGGATGGACCCAGCTCAGGCCATCCTGCTGGCCTGGGGCCTTGTCTTCTTTGCAGAGGCTGGAGGTTGTGGACAGAGCTTGATTTATGATTTGTTTGGTTTGAAACACTGAGGTTGCTTTTGGGGTTGTACAGAAGGAGTTGACGTGGTTGAATGCCAAAACTCTTTCATTCATTTCCAAAATGCAAAGGGGAGGTCAGTTTTGACAATTCCTTTTTTTCTTTTTTTTTGAGACGGAGTCTCCCTCTGTCACCCAGGCCAGAGTGCAGTGGTAGAGTTTCAGCTCACTGCAACCTCTGCCTCCTAGGTTCAAGAGATTCTCCTGCCTTCAGCCTCCCGAGTAGTTGGGATCACAGGCACATATCACCATGCCCAAGTAATTTTTTCTATTTTTATTAGAGATGGGGTTTCACCACATTGGCAGGCTGGTCTCGAACTCCTGACCTCAGATGATCTGCCTGCCTTGGCCTCCCAGAGTGATGGAATCACAGGCGTGAGCCACTGCACCTGGCCAACGATTCCATTTTTATTGATGATGGTATATTACTGTTTGTGGTACCTTAACAACTAAGCACCTTTTTACCTACTTTCTCTCTCCTGCTACCGTTTGCCTGTCACCAGATATTTAGCATTCTTCAACTCCAAGAGGGACTGGTCTGAGATCCTGAGCTGACCTGATTCTATAATATGATTAGAATAATCTACTAACATAACTCAGTTAAGTTATTCACCCACCATTACTTGACAAAGAAAATAAATCAGAAGATGGTTTTCTTCCAATTGCTGCGATAGGAGAGACATTTTCTTTCCACTGCATTTAAAATGATTTGCCAATGAGGCTGTTCAGATTGGTCTGCTTGGATGGATCAGTTGTCTGGCAGGTTTTACTGAGAAGAAGGTGAGATACAAAAAGTGGATGGTTGAAGTCAGTTAGGTGCCAGTAGGGAAGTGGGGAAACCGGGGATGAGGGTATGGGCTGAGCTGGGGAGGCCATCTCAAGGAGTGAGGAAGGGAACAGAACAGGATGGGCAGCCAAGGCTGCATCCCGAGATGCCAGCATAACTGGGGAAGACGCACAGCTGGAGGGGCAGCCAGACCTGCCTCAAATTCCCGGGAAGTCTCAGAAGGAAATAGTCACTGGCAGGAGGAGGCTGGAGGGGTGTGAGGCTGTCCCATCCCTCCCTGCTGACGCGGCTTTGCCTCAGGGCTAGGTGTGCCCCTGGTGCATGCGACACCCCAAGCTCTGGTTAAGGGTCTCTGTGTCTGCCTGGTTCCTAGATGGGCCATGGTATGTATACAGTGTGTGCTGTCAGTGGATGGCATATGAGATGCAGAGTGCAGAGGCAGGCCCATGACTCCATACTTCCCCATGGAAACCAGAGAAGCCCTCCAGAGTCCACTTCCCTTGGGGGCCTGTAAGTTCCCTTCTGTGGAAGTTATAGGCCAACTGCAAGCTTAGAGGGAACACAGTCCCCCACAAAGCCACTGCTGATAAAAGACCTAAGGCATTTCCAAGCTTTGACTCAGTTTGAGCATCAGGATGAAACCCCTCAGTTGGATCAAGGTCAAGTGTGTCCTGAGGACTTGGATATCCATGCCAGGGCAGTGTGGACCTGAACCAAGGCTCAGGGGCTCATCACCTCCCCGAGAATCAGTCTCACCTGGCGCTTGCATAATCCCAGATGGATGTGGCTGTGAGCCAGGAAGAACACAAGGCCTTAGGATTTACAGAGTTTCTCCCTGAGGAGTCAGTCAGTAATCATGGGACATCCATCCCTGCAGCTAAGATCAGCAGTGAGGTTGAGAAAAACTTCAGATCCCAGCATAAGATAGGTGTAAATTTCAAAGCTTGCTGTGGTCTGAATGTTTGTGTTCCCCCAAAGTCTATCTGCTGAAATCCTACCTAAGATGATGGTATTGGAGGTGGGGTTTTCCCGTGGTGATAAGGTCATGATGGTGCAGCCCTCCTGATTGGGATTATCCCATTGTGATGAGTTCGTGCCCCTGAGAGCCTCACGCCTCATTGCACCATGGATGGTGAGTGAATGAGGAATCCATGGATCCCTACAATGCAGGGCTGACACTGACACCTATGCCGTGGTGCCCCAATGCTGTCTACCCTGTGAGGCGAGGGTGGCTCGTGTCCTCTCTAAGGTCCTTCACCCTTCAACTCTTACTGTGGTGGGTTCCTGGGGCTGAGAGACAGCCACCTGGAAGCCACATTTATTTCTCCCCTGCTCAGTGCTAGGGTCCTGGCAGGCACATTGTAGATATTCCTTCGCTCCCCACTTGGGCTTGTGGATCCTGCTTTCATCTCTATTCCCAGGAGGAGAGAGAGGTTTGGAGAAGTAGATAGGGCCCCTTGGCTGGGGAGTGGCTGGAAGCGGGAGTTGAGCCCAGATCTGTTAAAACCGAGAGAGCATGCTGCACCTGTGGCTCTCCCTGCTCTTGAGTGAGGCAGCCCTGCCCACAAGGCCACTATGTATGGTTGGAAAACAGAAACCCTGGTCGTGAAGGGAGCAGGTGATGATCTAAGATGGTTGGTGTAAAATGAAGAACTTCACCTCATGGAGGGGACAGAATGCGGCAGGTTGAGGTCGGCGTAGACTGTGTGCAGACCCCCACTCGGGTGATGTTTATGGGGGAACTTGAGAATGGATTAGCAAAGGGAACTGGGGAGGCAATTCCAGATGGGTGGAAAGGGTGGTATCACTGGGGTGATGTGCAGGTTAATAACACGGGGCTGTAGCACGATGATCCCTTGGAGCTACACTCAGCCGCCAGGGTCAGGAGAGAAAGCCAAGGGGCACAGCTGCTTCCATGTTCCCTAGTGTGTGTCTGGGGCCAGCAGCACACACCCTGCCCTCAGCTTTACAGCCTCCGAATGAGGGGGCCTTTTGGGGATCCAGTCATCAGTTCAGCAAGTAGCGTTGACATGCTCCACACAAGAAGGGTGCTTGGGCAGGCCGAGGTCGGCTGGCAGGCTCCGTGGTGAGGCATCTGTCTGGGGACTCACAAGTTGTTTCTGGACTTTAGGCAACAAGGAAGACTTGTGGCTGCACATCGATGCGGCCTATGCAGGCAGCGCGTTCATCTGCCCTGAGTTCCGGCACCTTCTGAATGGAGTGGAGGTAGGTGCGCCCTTCGCTCTCCCTAAGGTCGTTTCACTCATGATAATGAAGCGCTGACATCCGATTTCTCGCTATTGTGGTTTGTTTCAGCCAGTTATGTTTGAATCAGTACTAGTGATTAATGGAAATCTCACTTCCTTAGAACAGGGGCAAGAGCCTTCCCCAGTCACACAGCCTGTCCTCCTGAAATAAATACTCCGGACACTTACAGTTCCATTTCAACCTACACAAGTCCCAAACATAAAGGATAGATGTTAGCTTATAAAACTAAGGGAAAGTATTTAGGAACAAAATCAAACCGTAATGCGCTCGAAGAGTAATTTAAAATACCAACCTGCAATTCCATACGGTCTGGTTCAATATGACAGTCATGTTCTGCTCATACATCTGAGCATGATATTCTCTTTAACCAATATCGAATGAGCAGTTACCAATGCATTTCAATGCCCCTAGGCACTCATCTGGAAATTGTAAACATGGTCTTTAATGCTAAGTGAAACGCCTGCTTCTTTTGAGAAGTAGCAGTAAAAATTATTGACCAACACTCTGCTTCTCCAAAAGGCAACCGAATGTAAAATGTACAGACTTAATACAAAGAAATGACCTTATTGATACACTGTGGTGTGTTCAGACTCAAGCAGGATTTCATTGCTGGTGGTGGCTCATAGGGTAGGAAGTCTCTCCTCCCCGAGGACTCAGCTTTGAATGCCATGGAGGGTTCCCAAGAGGCAGTCTTTGGCAGCGTGTCCAAGAGAAGGAGGTAGCAAAGCAGGGGAGCTGTGGCACTGGCCAAAAAAGAAATGTTTTCTGCTAAGAGGCAAAGGAGTTGTGAGACCCCACCCATGTGTCGTGAGACCCCACCCATGTGTGGCGCAGGATGAAGGGCACAGTCTTTGGCATTAGACTCCTTGGTTTGAATCCCAGATTTATCCTTAGGACTAGCTGTGTGCTCTTGGGGGGTTAGACATCCTTCCTATGCCCCATAAAATAGATTTCATAATAATACATCCTGTGTGGGATCGCTGTTAGGAGCAGGTGTGTTGATCATGTTTTAAGGAATTAAATACAGTGCGTGGCACACAGTAAGTACTGAACATGCATTAGGTGCTTTTGTTATTTTCCACCATATTTTCCATCTTAGAAAAACTTTCCCTTGACGCCTTCCTCTGCCTGTATGTCAGGCTTGCTATTCAATATTCTAATTACAACTTGGAATTCTCACAGTGCTGTGATTTCACAAAAGTGGGCATCAGAGGTATAGAATACAAATGGCCCCTCTTTGGAAAGAATAATCCTCTTACTACTAATGAAAGAAGTCATATTCTGGTTTATGTCTCCATCACATTTATTCACCTCTTCATTCAATAATTACTTGTTGAGTACATAATATGACCTAGGACTTAGATGATGGATCCTTGGGGGTAAAGGGAGCTTCCAAAGGCCTATAAAAGTATTGGGGAGAAAAAGTAAAAGGGAGCTTACAAAGGCCTATAAAAGTATTGGGGAGAAAAAGTAAAAGGGAGCTTACAAAGGCCTATAAAATATTTGTGATTGACCTCTCCTTTCATGAGGAGCTGATATCTGATTTCTCGCTATTGCGGTTTGTCTTACCATTATGTTTGAACCAATTCTAGTGATTAATGGAAATCCCACTTCCTTAGAACAGGGGCAAGAGCCTTCCCCAATCACACAGCCTGTCCTAAAATTCTCATAGTATGTGAGAAGTTCTCATAATGTGATGCCAGTACCCAGCTAATACAGTTCATTGCCGGTAGCTAGTTTGGTGGGTGTTTGGTGCTGGAAATGAAGAATACATCTCTGTATCATATAAATACATAATATTATGTATTTTTTTTTGAGAGATGGGGTCTCACTTTGTCACCCAGGTGGGAATGCAGTGGCACAAACACAGCTCACTGTAGGCTCAACCTCCATCATATGAAATACCTGTCCTGGGACAGTTTCAAGGGAGGAAGGGCTAAGCAATCCTCTGGGATGTATGTGCCCTCCCCAAGGCTGGCCTGAGCTTGAAGCTCTTTTCTAACTCTGGGTATCAGGTTTAGGGTTCCTGATCTTTTCCTACCACTACTGTTCTTTTCCCTATGAACTGACAACTTGAGGTTTCATCTTTCATAGAAGGGTGCCTAATTGTCCGACCACCACAGCACTGGGCATTCCAGCCAGATCCTATCAGCAGCAGACAGGATTTCATGTGGTACAATGAGTCATTGCCATTTTTCCTGCATTATTGCTCCCGACTCTCTTTCCGTGCTCAGCTGAGGACTGTGCATCTCAGCGGGGCAGATAAGGAGGCTGCAATATCCTGTTGTGGCCCTGCCCTTGGAGATAAGAGCCTTTCTGTCGGTTGGTCGGCAGGAGGAAAATATCACTGTTGGGTAATGCGAGAAGTTTAAACAGATCAGCCCCATAGGAGGGAACTCATAAAACTCCTAGCAAACAGAGCTCCTCTTTCACCTTTTGTCTCTTTTTATCAACAAATGAAACTTGCTGTAATTTCCTGTCCCCTTCTCAAAATTACTTTTATTGAAACCTGGAAGGAAATGAACCTGGGTCTCCAGAGCTGGTTGATATGGAAAGTTGTCATCCAATGACCGAATGTCTCGCAAGATGCCCCCCCAGACCCCTCAAGACTCTGCTGCCTCCTCAGCTCACATCCCGGGAAACAAGTAGACCAGAGGTGCCCTAGGGCCTTGGGAAGACTGAAAAGTTTTCCAGTAGGAGAGACAGCCAGACTGAGGCCTCATTGTGGCACGTGCCTTTATTTCGGTATCAATTGTTAATCTAGCCCCATGGCCATTAAGGTGGACCCTGTCCCTGTTCACCAGTCAGGTGATCAACCAGGACATGCATCTGAAAAATGTAAGAAAGCACCATTTATGACAACCCAGCGAAAATGCAATGTCCTCCTCTGTCACTCTTGGTGGTTGAAATCTCATTTTCTCCTTGAAAATAGGGTAGCCCCAACACTGATGCACGCAGCCAGAGCCAGGTGTTCGCAGTTGTTACCCAGGATCTTCTGGCCAGGGAGTCTGTAGCTGTTTGGAATACAAATAACTTGAATATTGTCTTTTAAAAGGAAGGAGCTGGTCGGGTGCAGTGGCTCACACCTGCAATTTCAGCACTTTAGGAGGCCGAGGCAAGAGGATGTCTTAAGCCCAGGAATCGGAGATCAGCTTGGGCAATGTAATGAGACACCTGTCTCTACAAACAAAATTTAAATAATTAGCTGTGTGTGGGGACACATGCCTGTAGTCCCAGCTACTTAGGAAGCTGAGGCAGAAGGATCACTTGAGCTTGGGAGATTGAGCCTACAGTGAGCTGTGTTTGTACCACTGCACTCCTGCCTGGGTGACAAAGTGAGACCTCATCTCTCAAAAAAAAAAAAAAAAGAAAAGAAAAGAAAGAAAGAAAAGAGAGAGAGCTAGAAACGTGTAGGTAAATGGGGAGACTGTTGATATGTTATGGCAGTGCTGCCAAAAGAACCCATCAATGAAATGAAAACTGGGTTTCTCCCTACCTGTCGTAGATTAGTTATGAAATTTTCGCTTTCCCACTGTTTATCATGACACCTGTAGTCTGAGAACGTTGCTAGCTCAGCAAGTCGAAGGAACTTCAAGCATAAAGTATTTCACAGGCCAAATTAACACAATTCCTGTACACTGTATTTGTGAAGGAAAATTCCAATTTTTCCAAGTATTCCAGTATTTTAAAATATAATAAGGATATATTTTGTGTCACATTAGACTATGTAAATTTGAAAGTGCTTTTCACTTGGGAATATAAACTTAACCTTTAAAATTTTTGTTCCATTTTATTGGGGTATAATCTAGATTTAGCAAAACGTACCAATCAGCTCTCAATACATATACTCCCATGTACTCACCACCCAGATCAAGAGAACAATTCCAGCCCTCCAGAAGACTCTTCGGCCCGCCTCAAGTTAGTGCCACTCCCTTGGGCAATCCTACCTGGCCTCTACCACCGTGGATTAGTTGTGCCATAAACGTTTATCATCATGTATGGGGTCTTCTTTATAATTAAACATTTATAAGGAAAATGTTTTATTTTTCTTATTCATGTTCTTTGGCAGTTTGCAGATTCATTCAACTTTAATCCCCACAAATGGCTGTTGGTGAATTTTGACTGCTCTGCCATGTGGTAAGTTTCCCTTCTCACGGACGGACGTCAGTTGCCTGTCCCCGGTGCTCTTCCAAGGTGATGGTGCATTTGAAAGAAGCTGGCAGGGAAGATGCCAGAGCCAAAGAGGGGCAGTAGTCACTTAGCTCACTGCTTGCTGCCATTTCTGAACCCTTGATGGAATTCTTGCTAAATCTTTGCCTCACTGGAAACTTTCATCTAGGAAATTTCATTGCAACATACTGGCATAAGAAATGAGAAGGCTAAAAAAGACAATCTGTAATTTGATTTATCCAGCATTAACAGAAAACAAATGCAATGCAGTTTCAGTACACACTTCTAATTCTGTGGCTTCTGTTTTCATTCTTAGATTCATAACTAGTCTTAGTTGAATGCTAAGTTTAAGCAATCTGGGTCCAAATGCTTAAAAGTATTTTCTTTTTTTTTTTTTTTTGGGACAGAGTTTCGCTCTTGTTACCCAGGCTGGAGTGCAATGGCGTGATCTCGGCTCACCGCAACCTCCGCCTCCTGGGTTCAGGCAATTCTCCTGCCTCAGCCTCCTGAGTAGCTGGGATTACAGGCACGTGCCACCATGCCCAGGTAATTTTTTGTATTTTTAGTAGAGACGGGGTTTCACCATGTTGACCAGGATGGTCTCGATCTCTTGACTTCGTGATCCACCCGCCTTGGCCTCCCAAAGTGCTGGGATTATAGGCTTGAGCCACCGCGCCCGGCCCTTAAAAGTATTTTCTAAGGCCAGACATGGTTGGTGGCTCACACCTGTAATCCCAGCACTTTGAGAGGCCGAGGCGGGTGGATAACCTGAGGTCAGGAATCTGAGACCAGTCTGGCCAACATAGTGAAAACTTGTGTCTACTAAAAATACAAAGAATTAGCAGAACATGGTGGTGCCTGCCTGTAATCCCAGCTACTCAGGAGGCTGAGGCAAGAGACTCGCTTGAACCTGGGAGGCGGAGGTTGCAGTGAGCCGAGATCGCGCCATTGCACTCCAGCCTGGGTAACAAGAGCGAAACTCCGTCAAAAAAAAAAAAAAAAAAAGAAAGAATGATGATGGGCAGTGGTATGGGGACACTAGAAACTAGTTTCTCTAATTTTTAAAGTGAGAAGTTGATTGACTGATCATAGGGCCAGGAGGATTTGCATGAATTTTGTACAGTATGCAAAATTGAAAAATCTTTCAAACGTTCGGAAGGCTTTGCAAAATTGTTCAGTATGTAATTAAATGAATGATTTTTCTCTTTCCTAAGCATGAGGAAAGCAGCTTTTATACAAAACAGCCAGTGTCAGCTCTCCCAGTTTACCAAAATATCCGTTCGCTGTTTTTTTTTTTTTAGAGGCAAACCATATTTCTAGTTCTTTACTTGTATTCAGATGAATTTTTTTTGTCAGTCTTTTTACCCAAACTTCTGCTATATAATTTTAAAACCGGTTGGTATGTGGGCATTTCAGACTTAATTTCGTCTGAAATACTACGTATTGATGAAAGCCACGGCTGTTATGAATGTGAGTATTCCTTTGTTTTCCTGTGGTTGTGTTTTTCTGTTTTACCCAAGGTGGAACACAGTGAGGACAGTTTGCACAGTGTGCCAGAGGTCTCTTTATTCGAGGTGTAATTTTGATTGAAATGCAAATCCGCTCTGTTGAGGATTTTTGGTAGGTGGGGAAAATTCTCTAAGGGAGCCAGAGTTCAGAGGGACCAGGCGGAGCGTCCGCCAGCTCTGGCGGGAACAAGTGGCTCTCCCTGGGTGCTTTTATTTTGCAAGGAGCAGGTGTCCTCACATTCCTTCCACAAAAGCAGCCCTAGAACCTCCCTGGAGCAGGGTGAGGGCTGATGGGGCTGTCCAGAGGAGGGGTTCTCATGCACTCCAAGGCTGTCCCCAGTGCCTGGATAAAACAGTGATATCAGCAAGACTGTTAGTGACCGTGGATAGGTCCAGCCTCCCTTCTAAGTCCCTAACCTCTCGTAGCTCTCCGGACCCCCGTGACAGACCCGTGATGGGGGACACAGACATTGCCACGCTCTTTTTACAGATGAGGAAACGGAAGTGGTCAGATCAGAAACATTTTGGGTCCCTGATAGTGGAGGCAAAAATTGACACATGATAAGAAGAAGTGTAATGAATGGGGCGTCCTGCTCTTGGATCCAGACAACCAGGGTCTATGTTAAGGCTGAGAAAACCTGCTAAGTCAGTGCCCTGGTGAGAAGGAGCCAAGCCTTTCCGGCCACAGAGTGCCTGCTGCCGAGCTGATGCCCCGAGGCTGCCGCACACGCTGCAGAGAGGATGCTGGCCAGCTGGTGGCCGTGTGCTCATCTGTCTTGGACAGCTCCTCCCTGGCCCTCAGGGTTCAGTTCAGCCACCAGCCTCTGAGGGGAAATTTGACAAAGTGGAAGTGACTTAGGGAAGAGACACAGGACACACAGGGAAGCCATTTGGTGAAGGGAGAGAGGACAGAGGGTGATTAGCCTGTAGAAGGAATTAAACGTAAGCCCTAAGACACAAGAGAGGCCTGTGGTGCCTGGAAGTCTGCCATAAGAGAAGGGCGATGGGGTTAGTTCCCATCCTCTGGGGTGGGTGGCAGGGGTGGGCAGGGTGGTTGCAATACTTGTGGAGCCTCTTATCTTCCTATGGGCTTGACAGGCTACAAAGTGTGTTTTTAAATTATAATAGAGAATGTGCTCCTTCTGTACTGAGCCGGTGTGTTCTTGACAGAACAAGGGTCAAAGAATTTGTTGAGATTTCGTGTACGTGGGAAAATCAGATCTCTCCCAAACCCAAGGTTCCGTTCCATGACACCATACAAATGGCACAAATGTTGAGGGGTGAAATCTGATTTTGAAGGATTTGGGTTTAACACAGAAACTGCTGATCTTTACTGTTTGGGGGCCCTGTGCTTGCGTTAATTAGTTGGCTAGGGCTGGCTTAACCAAGTACCTCACAGGCAGCTTAAACAAGAGGTGGTTTCTCTCAGAGCCCTAGAGGCCAGAGGTCCGAGGTAAAGCCATCAGCAGGCCGGTTTCTTCTGAGGCCTCTCTCTTGGGCTTGCAGATGCTAATCTTCTCCCTGTCCTCACATGGTCTTCCTTCTGTTTATCTATGTCCAAATCCCCTCCTCTTACAAGGACACGAGGCCTGCTAATCAAAAGTATCTGAGACAGGTCTCAATCAATTCAGATGTTTATTTTGCTAAGCTTAAGGACATTCCTAGAAGAGAAACAAGGAATTACAGAAACAGGGTGTGGTCTGTGCCTTTCTCGAAAGATGATTTTGAGGCCATCAGTACATAAAGGGGAAGGCAGGCTGGAGGGGAAAAACGGAGGGTATGGTCACATTACTGAAACCACGTCATGTGAGAGAAAGGAGCAGGTAGGGGAATAGTTAATGATGTATTTGTCTTCATGCTCAGTAAATCAGCTCTTTATATTATATAAGGTGAACATAGAGTAGCTACCTGTAGATATATTTAACCTTTTATCTGTGGCTTTCTGCTTAGGAAAAAAAAGGAAAGGCATCTCCTTACATGAAAGCATTCAGCTTAATTTTTTTCCTTTGGCATAGTAAATTGAAGTACCAAGTTTTTATTTTCCTTTCACATTTCTCCCGCTCTTCTTTTTTAAAAAAAACTCTTGCAGAGAATGCATTTTAGAAGAAAATTAGTCCCTGGTCTTGGGTTTCATCTGGGCTCTTGTGGCTAAGACAGTTTATTTCTAGACAGATAGGTACCAACTTGTTAGGAAAGCTCATTTTTAGCAGGGTGTAAAGTCTCATGACCCATGAAGGAAAAAAATAGGTGGGGGAAGAGAGAGAAAACAAACAGACATAAAAAAAGAACAGTCCTGAAAAACTGATATAGGGCAGATGACTCTGAAGTCTGGACATCAGCAGGCAGGTATGAAAGTAGTTTGCTTATATAAATAGATTTTCTTCCAAAATCGTTACTGTCTAGTTTCAGTTCACAGGGCTTTAAGAAAAGTACAGCTTAACTTTTAGTGATTTCAAATCACCATTAAAAAAGAAAAGAAAGAAGAAAAAAAAAACTGAGAACACTATTTTGGAGAATTGTAGCCAGGAAAAATTTTAGAATTCAGTCCAAATTGTAGAAAATAATAAAAATTGACAAACATTAGGCAAGGCTAGAATCCAATTACAGGTGTACTACAGTTTATTTTGAAACGTAATTTTTATCTCTCCAGTTTCTCAGTTTTATTAAATAGAAAATTATAATAGGGCCAATTTATTTGTAAAATAAATTTAAGACCTATTATGATTGGCTTTATTATTTGGATAGCAACAACAGTAATCACTTGCTATATAGGTCTGCTCTCTCTCTCTCTCTCTCTCTCTCTTTCTGTGTATGTGTATGTGTGTGTCTCTTTTTCTCTGTCTCTCTCTCTCTCTCTTTTTAAAAATTTATTTTGTTGGAACCCTTTCATAAAGATTCTAAGATTTAGAGCTTTGCACAAGCCTCAATCCCAGCCAAGGATTTATCTGTGCCTATAGATAAGGTCCCATAAAACTTGAGTTTCCTTGCCCTGTTAGAAAGTGACATTTTTTTTACTTAGCACAGTTCAGGACCCTGTGAAGGACAAGGTATGGGGTCAGTTTGTCCAAGAGGCTTTTATTAGCTCTGTAGGTCACACTTATTTTCTCAAGGCAATCTGAAAATGTCATTCCAATCAAAGCCTGGGTAAAATAACCAATGACAGAACAGGATCAAACACAGGCCACTGAAAAATAAGTCATTCATTTAGCCAAAGTGATAACTCAAAGATTTCACAAGAAAGGGAAAAACACCTTTATTCTCTGAAAGAAGAGACTTACTTTTCTAAACAATAAGCCCTGATAAAGACAGTATTAGGCCAATTAAATCTGTCTCTCAAATTTTAAAATAAATATATTAAATTTTCATTATCTTGATCAAACTGTATAATTTCCATAAATCTGTTGTTTTTTGTTTTTTGGGTTTTCTTTTTTTTTTTTTTTTTGAGTCAGAGTCTTACTC